TATAGCTTTTACCTCACGTTATACCAAACCTCATAACAACCATCTGACGACTCCATTTTCTGTGTTGTTCATTCAGTACATATATAGTAGAAAGCTCCTGTCCGTGTAAGCACACGTTGTCACCCGGTTGTCCATCGATTCCCTGTCTGTCTATCGGACTTGCACGACGCCATTCCAGCATTTGTGCAACTGAATGTGCGAAAGAGGTAACGGCAGAAAGGTAGAGAACCCAGCTGAGAAACGCCAAAAGTTAGCTAACGTCCTCGAGTTCTATAAATTGCGGCGCCTCGTAGCTGAGGGCGATCGTTAGCCCTTATCTCTTTCCCTTCTTGCATCATAGTTGCGCTGGACGCACAAGTTGTCTTTGCCCTGCATGCTCCTCACTGCATTTCGCTGGCCAGTCAGTCAGCTGGCAAACAAACGAGCAAACATCACCCATCTGAGCCAGCAATGTGTTCTTAGCATAAATACAAGACTGTCCTTCCCTAGCCCCCACATTAACTGGCTAGCTGACGCTGTCTATCAGGAACGTCTAGCAGGGGCAAACGGAAGAAGACTAGGGTAAAAAGGGGAGGGGGAGAAAAAAAAAAAAAAAAAAAAAAAAAAAGAGAGAGAGAGAGAGAGAGAGAGAGAAAGTAAGCCTGGCCGAAAAGATCGACAGTCGTCGGTAACGATGGCGGCGGCGGCATCGAGCGGCGAAGTCACTCCCTGCGGCAGACAACGGTGAGCTGATTAGATTTCGAGCCACTGAGCATAACTGAATAGCGAAGAGATCATTTGATGGCCGAAGCATCGTGCGCTGTGTCCGCCGTGGACGTTGCAGCTACTTCTGCTTTCTGTCGACGCACTGCCAAGCACTTCTAGTACTATGGAATAGCAGAGCACCAGGCAGACATCAAAGCGGCTCTGTAGTATGTACTACGCTTCCAGCAGCAGAACAACCAGTAGTTGTACAATGTAGTTCCCTAACGTTCCGAATGAACGACCAGGCGCTGTTATTGACGATACGTAGCGGCTGTAAAGTAGGCCATCTCCGGCGGCTTTCCTCCGTAGTCTGCTGGACTACAAGCGCTTTGCCTTCGATCGCTGATCGACCGGCTCCGATCAGGCTCATCGAGTGGTCTGGACAAATGGCTGAAAGCGGGTCTTCCGCAATGTCTATTTTTCCCAAGACGCTCCAAATTAAGTCCCGCCCATCTCCTCTACCACCAATACAACAACTACGATTTCCAGGTCTTTTTGATCCCTTTGCAGCCCTGTCAGCTCCCGTTGCGTTGGCCACTTTCTTATATTTGAAGAAGAGCCGGAGAGATGTCATCCTGCAGCCAGATGTCAGTTTTTTGCCTGTTTCTTCGCCAGCCGAAACCGTAGTCCTTTCATGTAAGCGGCGCTTACCCTTGCTTCAGGGACGAGCGCCTGTTAGACCTTCAGGCCTTGACTACTGGCTACGTCGGGCAAATCATGCAGCAGAACCCTAATTCACTCGTGGTCCTGGCTGTGTGCAGTAGGAAAAAGTCCACTGTTTGTTCGTTTGGTACGATGCCGTCACTGTCTCACTAAAGCATATAATATCATAAAACTACCTAATAAAGAAGTACGGGCAAAAAGAATTTCAGACTGACCTTAATGGTCCATTAGCATAGAAGATTATTAGGTCCTTTGTAGGATGAAGGAAGAACGCATAACGTCAGCTATATGGCTGGCGCGGCGGTTAGCTACGAGAAACGAGCGGAGTGGCTGAGGGCGGGACACAAACTTTCATAGAGAAAATGGCTTCAGTATACCGAGTAGACCATAATATTCACTTTATCTTCGTGGCTCAGTGGATAACGTGTTTACCTACTAAAATTAAGGACACGTGGATGATCGGACTTAGCCGTCCGGAGCAATGCCCAACGCTTTGAGCACCAGATGGAAACATTTGTTTGTGTATTCAAATCCACCGACGCAGCTGATTATCAAATGCTCGTACATGAGCCGGTTAAATAAGTGAGCGAATGGCTCACACGTATCGGTTACTGACCATGATGATATTGACGATTTGCTGTATACAGTTAGACAATATCTATTAGTCAACGAAAAATTGGAGATTCTGATCCTGCGCAGCATGCAAGCTTTGAATATACATGGGAAGAGATAATTCAAAATTGAGATTTTTTCTAATTTTAAGAATTATGTAAAAACCGCTGGCTACGCGCTACTTACGGTATGGCTACGGACCTTCTCCTGTACGGTGCTTACTATTACAATGCAACTCTGTGAAAACCTCTCGAAATGTTCACCTTGTCCCCACTTCCTACTACAAAGTTAGACAGAGGGTTGAAACAGATTATAAGTTTAGCTAACTAAACAAGTAAGTTACTTCAAGAGAATATGCATTATTCATATATTAGATATTGCTTAAACTGTATCAACTTTGCCGCTTTTTTCTCACTCGTCGCACACCCATATGTCATTACGCTGCGTTTGTAAAAAAAAAAACCCTTGATCACCAATAAAGTTTACAACGAGTAATGTACTTAGACGATTCAGATAGAATTAAGAAGGGTTCGGATCTGCTTTTGTGGCTTTCCGTCTTATGCAGCTCTTTCAGGGCACGGATGATTATTTTTTGCAAAATCGGATACAAGTGCAGGAAAAGCACGAACGTGTTCTGGTACGATCTGAAAGTATCATTCTATCGCCTAACTAAGTTATACCTCTACTGAGCATAAAGGTAGTTAGAAATGGCGCAAGTTAAAATCCTACAATAAATCGATGTTCGAGCATATACTCTGTCTATTTGTCCCTATTCTTGTAAATTTTCTTTTCTTCATATAAAAGTAGAAAGGATCGCTGTAAAAGTTAGGCTGAAACGCAACCTTCAAACCGAACCTTATGCGCTATCAACAGTTTCCGATAAGGTACCTTTAGTACGATCATTCACACACATAGATTGTATACAAAGAAGACGCGATGTCCGGAACCTATAACTCCTTATTCGTAACGAAATATAAATTCTACAAGAAAAAGTTTTTCACCCCTATACTGGAATATTCTATTTCGTTCGTTCTTGCATCTTTTTAACAGCGGACTTTCCCTAGTAACTGCTCTTGTCCCAAACACTTTCCTCAGCCGTCGTTCAGACTCTACCTTTATGTGCGCCGTCACTTCACCTGGCGTCATCTGTCTCATACTGCACTACTTGAATAGCATAATGTCTCGCAGTAGCTAAATTTTATAGTAGTTTCGCAGCTATTACCTAGCATCATCTTCAGCATAGTTTCGTGACTTTCGAAAAACTATGGAGCTGCCGAAAGCAGGCACAATATCTCACTTGTTTTTGGCAGGTCGAAAAAAAAAACCAGAGTATTAAAAATGTCTTTCACCTGTTCAATAGTATAATGTCTGTGCCTTTCTAGGGTGTGAGCACATTTTAGGAATTGTTGAATGAGACAAACATGTCGAGAGGTACGCACTCCTTTCTTTTTCGTTTAATGATGCGTTACTCCCATTGGTCGATATATAACATTCGCCCGTTTATCGCAGTCTACCAGCTGCCAGTCATCTGCCAATGATTATTGATTGTCATTCGTATAGTTCGAACGTTCGAAGAAAGCCACTAAAGGTCCTTCTCACAGAATAAAGAATGGCTCAAAGAACAAGTCGCCATTCTCTCCAGCGTTCTTGAGCAAGGGCTTCTATGGCGGCCAGGATAAGGTTCGCGACAGAGGTTGTCAACTATGACACCTGGCGCTGCTGACGATTGCTGCCCGTAGTCGGCGAGCCCCGTGGCTAGCAGCATTGGTAGAGACGCTATCAAAAGGGCTATCACGCTGTATTAAGGTGCTTGTTTTATCCATGCTCCGCCAGGGGTCGTCGGCGTGCTTCTGCGACGGACCCCTTCTGCCCCCCCCCACCCCCCCCCGTTTACGTGGCCCTCTTCCTCGTCTTAGAGGGTCTTGCTAGCAAGTATACAGCCTGCTGTTCTCGAGGTCACCACGACTGCCGCTGACGCTACCACCCCGTTCTCTATTATGGCAGGGGGTAATAGTGGACATACAACGAAGGAGTGCTTTCGCTGAAGGAAGGAACGAGCGCAAGATAAGATAGAGAGAAGGAAAATTCGATGGGGAGGGAAGAGAAATAGAGGCCAAAGCAGAAAGGGAGTAACGGGAAAGAGCTTATGTATGTGTATACGATCGCCCCTAGTGGATCTGGCACCTGCCTGCTAGCTGCGACAGTCGTCTTCAGTTTCTTTGCCGGTGGCTGGGGCGGTGTTGGCGATATAGCTGCTGCTAGAGCAGCGGCGTGTGGACGAGCAGGCGGCGGATCGCGCCAGCACGTTCGAATGCTGCGGCTCTCTTCAGCTTTATAACTGCCTGCCTGCCTGCTTCTTGTGTTGGCTCCTGAGGAGCGGAGTGAGTGTACGCCCTTCTTGCTCGGCATACTTCATTCAGAGAGGAGAGCAAAGCCGAGAGAGAAGGAAAGAGAGTGCAAGGGAAGAGAAACCCTGGGGCAGCATACTCTCAGGCGGGGGTAAGGGCAGGGTCGTCCGAATGGTTAGGCCTCTAGCTTAGGAGCTGCTGGCTTCGCTATGAGCGATGGGGGGAAGGGATTTCTGGTGGAAGAAGCGAAAAGCATTGGGACAGTTCAGTGGACGGCTTTGGGCAAGAGTGCTGCGACTTTTCGGCTTCAGCTCTCAGGGTGAGCGTCCACTGATGGTTAGCGCCATAGCAGCAGCTGAAGGGAATTCTCTACAACCCTTTCGATCGATGACACAAAAAGCAAGGGACGAAACGAGACTCTCACCCGCCGGTTTCATCGTGCGCGAGCTCTGTCCGTTGTGTTGGATATGTCGGTGTGCGGTCTGTGAGGGAAGTGTCCTTTCCGATCCTTCTCTTTCCCTCTACTGGCGGCTGATCGTACAGATGAACAGAGCATACCGCTGGTGCGCCGGTTTCTGTGGTGATTTAGTTAAGTCATGCGGGCGTTTGTCCATGTTGAGGAGGAAAGCCAGGAGCACGAAACACGAGCAACGATGGATAAGAATCGGCCGGCGACTTGTTGTTGTCCTCGCTGTTAGTAACCTGGCGTTTCGTCATTGTAATGCTGTGTGATTGCCTTTATGCCGGTAATATAGTGGAAAAGCTGACTGTTAAGTACCAACTAGTTTCGTAGCTGGAGAAGTTCGATAGCGAACAAACGCTATCTCGTAAACGAGTATCTTGAAAAGTTTTCGTATTTCCAGAGTTTTGGCACGAGCCGATTACAGTGGTGTTAAACGAAGATGGGCTGCGTTTGTAGAAATAGAAATAAATCAATAGCAACAAAGCTGTTGTGCTTTTAATGGACAATACACTTTTTACATGCGTTTACGGACAGTGGTGTTAATAATAGTGGTTACTGATTGAAAAAAAAGGATTGATTCGTTCAAATAGTGAGGTGTATTCTATCGTATAGTGACACTGCGACATATTCACCGTGATACGAATGTAGCAAAAGAATTGTGTGCAGTATTACTTCATTCTACTAGCGATGACGGCTAACTAGCGCCCCTGCGGATACACCAAACAAGCGGTTGTCAACATTTATTTATTATTGTGGATTAAAGTTTTCAATTATTACTGTAACGTCAGTGATTTTGACGTCGCGTCGAATTGTTATCGGCCATTTATTTACGTCTGTGTTACATGGTGTGTTCTAGTCTACAGACAGTGCCAAATCGCCTGCAGACACCCAAGCTATAGCTGCCGTTGACACTGCTGTACCATATCAATGCCACGTAGTCCCTTTCTTCAATACTTGTAAATAAAACAAACGTTAGCATATGGGTACATCCTAACGTTACAGCTATCTTCTCCTATAGCAGCTTATGGACAAGGCGTCATATGGTCCAGTAACACCCGAGAAGTCGCACACGTGAGTTGCTGATAGGGAGCAGACAAATGAAGGTCCGGAAAAATCGCGCAGTACTATTTGCGAGTCTATTCATTAGCAACGTTTGTCAAATTCTAGCTAGTAAAAATAAGCGACTTATGTGAATGCGGTCGCGCACTTTCTCATTTCTCCTTTATCTTTTACCACTACTGACATAGCGTAGTATCTGGGCTTGCGCCAATGCTGTTCTGCTAGTTTTTTAGTGCCACCGTAAAAGGCCCCTCCCCACGTTCAGATAAATAGTATTGGTTGACATACCGGGCAATTCTAAAGATAGCTTCCATGTGTAGACGTGTGTTATGGCAATTGTCTTTTCGCATCGAATTTTTTTTTGCCCTATAGTGTGTCGTTGTCGGCGCATACGTCCATTTTCCTCTTGCAGTTGACCTTAGCACAACGAATACTGCCTGTTACCGTATAGAGTTTCCAGTGCGTGGGATGCGCGCTCGGAGGTGTGCCTTAGCGCCGTGTGCTTCCGAGCCTGGACTGTCCGGCCGGTCGGTTTCCAAGTGGATGCAGTGTTGGTACTCAATGTCGCTTAGCAAGCCTTGACCACATGGCGCAAGTGACGAGTGTGCTTAGAACAGTAGCAGCAGTAACAGCGTCAGCAGCAATGTTTGACATTGACCAGGGTACCAGTTACGCGCCGTCGCCCATGCGCTACAATCATCGTCGTAACTTTTCCACGCCTCTGGCCCACGATTATAACACGATTATAGCCATCGCCACAGGTACGAGCAGCGCAATTTCGAATCGATTCGTTAACCTCATAATGATGATGGTGACGGGGTCCACAACAACAACGAAGGGGAACAAGCGGGTTACGATCAGCACTAACGGCACCACAAACACGAGCCGACACCATGGAGCCCGAAGCAGCAGCGGCAGTAGCAGTGGTGGCGGAGCTTGGACCCGTCCGCTGCTATGGCCGTAAGCGCCTCGTCACCGCGTGAGCGGGTCGATGGCGTCAACGGCACTTGCGTATACACGGCGCTCGAGGCCCGTTCTGCCCAAAATTCCCAATTACAACAACAGCGATGACAACAAGGGGCAAAGGCAGCGATCCCATCATCAAAAATTGCGACGAAACGAACCAAAGCAAACACAGCAGTTGGAACAACGGCGCAAGGTGCCAGATCCGACTCGGTCGTTTCCTCGGTCGACCGCAGCTCATTGCCAAGAACCGTTATTAGCAAAGCCTCCGCTACCAAGCATTGGTTTTGCGTTAAAGAGTCGTGTTTGTCACTTCTCGGCTGGTGGCAGCAGTCTCAAAGGCAGCATCGACGGACGCTTCGGTACAGCCCGTTCCCAATGTCACGCGCGATCACCGAACCGATCATGGCTGCGGCCAGCCTTGTTAACAACCGTTGCTTTCCGAGGCTATCATCGATTGATTGTCGTTCATGCATTTGTCGTTGCTGTTGTGGCGCTGGCATCAGCGGTAGGGTCCGTAGCCGGCAGCCATCTAACGGGTGGAGGTTCGGGTGCTGGCGGGGGCGCCGGTATGAATCACCATCACCACAGGCGCTTCGACGATACAGTGCAGGGTTTGAACATTCTCAATCACCAGCTGAACCATCCGTCGTTCAGCGGAGGCAATTGTGGAACTGCTGCAGTTCACATGGCATCGCCAGGTGGCGTAGGCAGCGTAGTGACAATGGCCGGAAGCATCAGCTCGTCCGGGTCGTTGTCCATCGGAAAAAGCCCGCTCAACGCCAAAAGCCCGGCTGGAGGTCGCACCGCGCGTTTTGCTCAGTCGCTACCAACCGGCGGACTTGTGAGCAGAGCCAGCAGTGGCGCAAATGGTGTCGGAAGCGGGGGTCGGACGGCGTTCAAACGTAAGAAAAATAGCACAAGCGTAAATCGGGCAGGAGATGGAACGGACTCAAACTCGTTCAGTGGGGGTGCCAGCAGCAGCGGACTCGGTAATCTTACCTGGCCCCTCAAGCGGGTCGCTCATCGAAAAGGCGAAGTAATGTTAGGCGCTCTAATGATGGTGCATGAAAGGCATGCAAACTGGACGTGCGGGCCAATTATGCCACAAGGTGGTATTCAAGCGCTCGAGTGTATGCTATTCACTATTGACTACGTGAACCGTCAGGAATGGATGCCATCGAACGTGTCTTTTGGCTACTACATACTCGACGATTGTGACTCGGACACTTATGGTCTGGAGCAGGCCGTCGATTTCATCAAAGGTGAGAATACAGGAACGGTTATAGAAAGTAAAATAAGCCCCGATAATTGTAAAAATTGTTGAAAAAAATAATCTCACGTTGCTGAGGGCGTCGTTATATATCTCTGGTCAATAGCAGGGTAAATTACACCAATACTGACGTTCGACGCTTCATTTCGATAGCTCGAGAATTTTTTTATGTCGAAAGGAAGTGTCTTTGCCTTTGTCACAGAGCACGAATACGTTTAAGTTAATTTGGCGTAAAGCTTTGCTACATTTTCAGGCGATACGCTGTCGTGCAGCGCTCGGGTCAACATTCTGCTTAGGTACATACGATCATCGATTCAATAGCTCCTTCTGTCCACATTTGGTCTAACAAGTAGGACTCATACAGCGTGCACCAGGTCGAACATGGGATGAACACAACGCAAAGAGATAGATCGTGAGGCCAATTCCTCTGCGATCAGAGAAATCGGTGAACAAGGAACTTGAATAATGACATATGTGCGTTTATTGTCAACATCCGGCCATCGTACTGATAGCGATCAATTTGTATGTTGACATTTTATAAAGGCGATACTTAGCTGATACGAACTTGTTATGGCTTAAATTTCTATTTGCGCGTTACGCTGGCTTTGTTAGCGGAAGCTGGCTTCATTTTTTTTTTTGTCCTATTGTGACTATTTTCCTATCGCGCCTATCTTCGCAGTTCACTATAGGGTATTTAATATCGTACCGTACATATTAAGCTATTGTAATTTACATGTAAGGAGTCAAAGCAGTACTTGTGGGGTCAATACAAATCTTTGACCACATCGATATCTGCGGTAGTTGCTCTTATGATTAGTATCTTGGACTGATCGATTAAATGATCTCCATTGTTCCGTTGAGGGGTAGCTCCTGTATAAAGGAACGGTCAAATGAGGTTGCTATGACAGTTATTGCAACAAGTTGTATTGTTCTTGACGCCTGATCTACTTCTATTTTCTAGCCGCCATTGATAACCATCAAACAAGCCCAGCGTTACAGTTTAAATTATAATCCAACGTCTTAGCTAGTTTTAATATAGATCAATAAAAGAAACTAGCATCATCTGTCCACTCTGTTGCCCACGACATAGCTATTTCTGCCCAGAACGAAAACGTTTAATCGTATACATTGCTCATCAGGGTTTGGTTTGCAGCGCGGATATTTAAATGGAAGGTACGACATGTATGTGTGCGTACGATACAAAAGTAACGATCTCGCCATATCGATCGTGTTTATTATTAGTTCGTCTTAATGCGAAACAGTGTTAGCCTTTAACTTGCCCACCAAATTCGACTAATCTTCAAAGAAGAACTTTAGCGATGTTCGTAGGGTTCATTATTATTTACGTTATTATGCGTTACAAGATTCGATACCCGGCTTAGTTAATGGCTCCCTTAATCTAGTATAGTTGCGCCGTGCTATCTTCAGCATGGACTGAGACGCTTTAGACGAAAATTCTACGATGCTCGAGTAATGATCTCAATTTTCAAAAACACGTATCTCTGATAGGCATATACGGTTGGGCATAACAACTCAATGCACTCACAGTAGGACACGATTAATTATACTACTAAAATCTAGGAAGAATGTAATTAGGAAACAAGCTGTTTATCCTGGCCATTCAGATGGGTAATGATGACTTGAATGTGCATTTTATATGACGTGGATCATTGTTAATAAATTATATTTATATAATAAAAAAATGAAGGAGCAAATGCACTGGATAGATGAGCTGAAACTACAATTAAGTAATTTTGAAGGTGTTACCGAGTTTCACCTATCTCTAACTGTATACGTTGAGATACTCAACGATTTCGGTGGCCAGCAGGAGTAGATTTCAGCTTTTTGCAGACTATGTAAAGAACAACATTGCTTTATAAGGCAACAAATCATTAAATAAATCAATTGCCCAGCTAATTTAATAAAAAGAAAACTTCCGCCTTTAGCGAACCGAAATTATCCGAATTTCTACTGAAAACCTCGTAATTTCTAGCTGGCGCAGAGCGGACCTTTCCAAGGTTAACAGGCTTCGACGATCCTCCAGACTCTATGCTGCCTTACCCCCTTCTCCATGAGTGGCCCCGTTCGAACAACCTAAGCATTCATTTTAATCGATCGATAGTTATTCTTGAGATTGAAGGCACGAAACTGCAGTTATCATATAAGTAACTGCGTTTTAGTGCTTATTACCTAATTTTAAGGTTGTCATATAAATAGAAAGTCAAATTAACTACAATTGCCGAACTTAGTGACGACGACACTTCTCAATAGGACTAAAATGTCCTTTTTCGCCACTGAACCTATATCACTATCGATCAATTTGACCATTTGAGAGTGTTTTTTTTTTTATAAATTCAGCCGTTATTATATCGCTATCGCATGGTTGTGGGAAATGATAAACTTTTGTTTTCTTAAACCTTAAGTATTGTTACGTTCGGTATAAATAGAATCGCCATTTAAATAGAATACACTAGAACAGAAGTAACAACAGAAGTAAACTAATTAATATTATTTTATTAATTAGTTTTACTAATTAATATTAATTAAGTTAATTTAAGTAAAGTTTATAGTAACACAAGAAGGAAAGGTGTGCTTCAAAACAATTGGACCAGTACATAATGGCATCTTTATTACCTCGAATCACTTTTTTCTCTTCGTCTACTAGGTGACATTAGTAGATATTTTGACACGCTATTGCACGAAGTATGTGTAATGCACGTTCTTAATGTGTTTCATTGCCTCTAACTCTATTCTAATCTCTACCTAGTTTCTCCACGGAATACAGTGTACCAGTCAGCGACTCATCAATCTTCCTCGTGAAATAGCGCTTGTCCACCCTGTTAGAGGCAATTACGAGAAGACATGCTAACGCCAACTAATCTTTATAACGGAACCTGTTTTTACAGCCAGCCCTATGTCCGTGTTGGCCGCACGGGCTAGATTCTTGCCGGTAGTGCCGAATACGGCACAACTGTGTGTATTGAGTTTCATGCCGCTAGGTGTTCCGGTGTTGTTCTCGTGCATTCGAAATTGTCCCGTCGGTCACTACGCGCCAATTTTCATCGTTTGTTTTCATTGATTTTCTATTGTTTTTTCTGCTGGCCCGTGCTCTCTCGCAGTTTCCTCCTCTTCGTCCCTGTTCTATCTGATCGCGAGGTTGAGAAACGAACGTTCTTCACATGGCGAATTTTTCGATGCGTGCAATGACCTTTACTTTCTGCTTTGGCATCTGCCGTTCCTGTCGACTGGTCGTCTGTCGTTCTTGTTCATGCCTAGTCATGACATCATAGAAACCCAAGCAAACGAAGGAAAAAAGGCCTGAAACAAATATGATAGGATACTAGCGTTCTGCGTAGCGGCAGCATCTACTCCTTTTGGTAGTTATTTTTTCTGTGGCGGCTGGCAGTGGTTGACAGTGATCTGCTGGCCATTCTGAAGGTTTAATAGATAAGCTGGCATCGTCTCCTAAGTAGAACAGAGAGGGAAAATTACATGCAGTTATGCGGGTGAGGCTGCCTCCTTTGTCGTGCGGTCTTCCGATTTCGACAACATTTACCTCAGGTTTCGTCCAAGAAATTGGTTTAGCTCGGTTGCATAGATGGCCTATGGCGCCGTAGTTCCGTCAAAGGAATGCCGATTCCCAACACAAGTCCCTTCTGCCTACCCTGATATAGCACCGCGTGTAGTCGTCGGGTCGAATGTATCCTGTACGTTGCAATTTTAGCGTGCATCCGGGCTGGCTGGAAAAAAAGAACTGCCCTGGCAATGATGACTATATGCTGATGATATTTTTCTTGATGTCCTTGACACCAGTCGATATTGCACTGGCTTTTGCAATGCGACGATGAATATGCAATGAGTCCAAGGACCGTAGCGAATGTTAGGTTCGATAGATTGACTCCTTTCGAGAGACTGTAACCAGCCGTCAAAGACAACCTCATAAGAACTACCACTGGATTGGATGGGTAGATTCTCTCGCTAATCAAAACAACGATCTGTCGATATTGCTCTGAATAGTTCATAATATAGCTACAACAAAGCAGTTGTGTTTGGTAGGGTAACTTATATTAACGCTTCTAGCGTGCCATAGCAATAGAATTATGCCATAGCAGTAGAGTTAAGCGTTTCCAGCTCTCAAACCTTGGAACAACAAAGTCCTCTACCAGTTTCATCATTTCCAGAAAGTCTAACTTATAGATCAAAGAGGAGATTTTATGGATCTTCTTTCTCAAATTTAGCACTATTGTGCTAGTGTTTTGTCAAAGGCTTTATAGGCTGTTTGTAAGTACGCTGCGTATTGATTGAAGGACTGCGAGAAGGAAGGGCGTTTGATCGAAAATTGTGTACTAGAAGCGGATTTTTTTTAGAAAAAAAAAGGCTCCTACGCTATTTTTAATATTAGACAACATACTGGAATTTAATGTACAGAGCAATTAAGCAACGTTTTAGAATTAGAATTCAATGGTGAACTATAGAACGTGGAACGAGATTTCTAAAATCGCACCCCTCGGAGGTAGTGGCCAAGTTGACGAGTTTCCCCAAAGCGGCTGGCCTATTATACACTCCTGAAAGAAATCAAGGTCATCTTACATTATCCATCTTGTTTCTAAGTGTCCTTCCTGTTCCTGCCGTGTTGACAAAACTTCGGAATCGTCTTCTTGGTATAGTATCGAGGACCTGTCTTCACTAGAAGGCCTAGTTGGGGTCGATTTTCCTGGGCTAAATATGAGGTTTTCTCAAGAGACCTACGAGAAAGCACTGTAACTATATGCTACGCAACTGTTTGCTAATGCGAAAATTAAAGCAGTGTGAGAAGATAATCGAATGGCTTTGAATCTAGCAGTAAAAAGGGCATCAGACCATTTCGGCCTTGAAAAAAGCCAACCATGGATCTACGCTGCAGTAAAGATCTTTGGGATCTGTTGATCGAATACATGAAACCCGACATGGCAACCACTGTTGTTTTTTCTTGCTCCAAACATTTGATGTGGA